TGATGGTTTCAGTGTCCTGGGGTCATGTAATCGCCTTGTGTGACCTTTTGACAAAATATAAAATTTTTAATCAAGCCCCCCACCCCAGACCCCCCGGTCAATGGTGTCCCTCTTTACCAATCTGAAAATCTGGTCACCTTAGGGATGGCGAACCTCTGGCATGAGTGCTACAGGTGGCACATGAAGCCCTCTCTGCGGGCACGTGAGCCGTCGCCCGGCTAAGTTCCACCGCACACGCGTGCGCGCCTCCCACCAGGCTAGCTGATTTTGGGGTCTCTGGCATGCATGCGGGAGATGCGCGCGCATGCGTGGGGGGAATGCAAGGCGGCACGTCTCCCCGCACCCCAATTTTGGTTTCAGGAGACTTCAGGGTGGCCTGTTAGGCCCAAAATGTGGCGTGTGGGGCGCCCCCCCCCATGGCCCATTTTTTGTCCCAGGAGGCTTCAGAGAGGTCTGCTAGGCCCAAAATGAGCCACAGGGGGGAGGGGGGGCCACGAGCATGCAGGGGGTGAGGGGGGAGCACAGGGGGCTGTGCATTGTGGGTGTGGGCACGCGCATGCACACTGTCGCACACACATGCTCAATTTCGGCCCACAGGGACAAAAAAGTTAGCCATCACTGTCCTAGAATATTTCTTTTTTTTCTAGAAGAGGGGTGGTTGGTGCTAACTTTCTACCCAGGGAAAGAAAAGCTAATTTGAGTCCCTGTTTCCCCTCCCCATCCTGGGACCTCTCTGCAGGAGTGCCTTTAAGGGGGCAGAGAGTTCAAATTGAAAGCAAACAACTTTCTCAAAGTTCACTGTCAGGGATATTTCAAGTGGTTCCTATCCAAAGGTTTCCAGGCCAAAACAAATAACAAAGAGTATCATTTCTCTCTTTGTTTTGCTGCAACAATGCTGACGTCAAGGACATCTCTGGGTCTGATTAAACAAAGCCCTTCCCGGAAATCTGATGTTGAGTCCTGCTGGTAGGGCAAAAAAAGATCATTAGATCCGAAGAAAGGGAGCTAAAGATGGCTGGTTTTTCCTTCTGCTTCTTAATTTTTAGCATCTTCTCCGTATCGGGTGAGTTGATTAATACACTTTTGTTCTTTCCTCTCGGCTCGCTGTAGCTCTTTTTGCTGCAGTTCAAAAGTTGTGCTTATCTTACCTTTTTTCCTCCTTCCTAGCATTTTTCCTGCAAGCACAGGATCTGCTCCTTTCGGGTGTATCTTTCTTATCTGTGGTTAACCCACGGTTAGCTGAATTATGCTGGTTTATGCAATTCGCCTACTTTTCTGAACCAACGATGAATTGTGGGGGACTATTTTTGCAACCGCAAGCTAGTCTAAAATCTAGGTAGTTATTTCATGACTTAATTTGTTGGATGGTTTAAGTATTTTGTTTTTAAACAATTATGAGCAAGAGTAGGTTTCTTTTGTATTCCCCAAATAATGGATTATTAGAAGCGGCAGAGATTAATATTGACCGGGTCATCTTTTTCATATTTGGGGATTTGAAAAGAACAGAGATTTTAAGCAAGTACCAGTGGTAAGAGATGCAAAGGAAAGTTAACCCTTGAAATATGCAACAGTTGTGCATTCACTGGAGGGAAAAAAATATTGGAACCACAAATCACACAGGAAGCTACAAAGGAACTTCCAGGGAAATAGGAATAACAGCCAGGTCAGTTTTTAAAAAGAAATGGCAAGAAAAACTTTCTAAAATACAAGTAGTCCTTGAATTATAACCACAATTTCTCTTCCTAAGCGAGACAATCATTAAGTGAATTTTACTCCATTTTACAACCTTTCTTGACAAAGTTGTTAAGTGACTCATTCCCCATTGACTGGGGTTGATGAGCTCCCTTCCCCTCTCAACAGGTGTGGTTGTTGGTCATTGTAAACGTTTATTTTGTATTTGCATGTTCCCCTTCCCGCTGGAGTTGTTCGCTGCCCTGAGTCCCTTTCAGGGAATAGGGCAGCATATAAATAAAATGAAACTTCAAACTTCAAACTTTGCTTGTCATAAAATCGCAAAGGTGATCAGATGATCCTTCAACTGTCATAAATATGAACCAGTTGCCAAGCATCCGAATTTTGATCATCTGACCATGCTGCAAAAGTGTGAAAAATGGTCATGTCACATTTTTCAGTGCTCTTGTCACTTTGAATGGTCACTAAATGAATTGTTATAAGTCGAGGACTACCTGTAGTGTAACTTTGCTCACATGCTTCCTCCAGTTCTTTCATCCTATGGAGGTGCTGATATTGAGACATAAAGATTGGACATTGAAAACTGTAAATATCCTTCCTTGCCCATCATTTGATTATCCAAGCTATAATATAGCTGTACAAAATTTGCCAAATTCATGGAGGAATTTCTCTAGCAATGCGTATCAGCCAAGAAGTAAATGCAACCTCCATGGATGGAGGTAGTCTATCTCTAAACAGAGTTGGTGGCATTTATTTAGCAAAAACTGATACAGA